TCCACTTTCCTGCCATCCCACGAACTGCTCCGCTCTACAAGCCGCTCCGCTCCGCTCACCGACCTGTGAGCCGTTCCAGCCGTCCCCGCAAACAGCTCCACTCGCCGTTCCTTGGGCCACTCCAACCGGCCCCACAAGGCTCCACGCCACTCACTGCTCCTCCAGTCATCCCCCACAAATTGCTCCACCAGCTGCTGAGCAATATAGCTTCAGGCTCCCCCACTAGTTAACACAGCACTCAGTGATCTCAGCTCTTAATAACATCAGCTCTTTTGTGATTTCAGCTCTTAGTGATTTCAGCTCATAGTATAGTAGGGGAGCCCCAGTGCTGGTGCACCATTGGCCCAAAGTGAATTCAGCTCAGCAGCCTGTAACTAGACTCCTAAGGGAATCAAAGTTAGCTCTGACATTCAACAGTGGAGAGAGGAGGCGGTGCAATTGGTGTTTCAAACTCTCAGAGGGGGCCCATACCATCAAATACAAATACCTGTCCCCATCCTCTCTCTATTCACTGGGTTTTGTAACCCATGCCCCTTGTCAAGCAAGTGCTACTTAGGTAATGGTGAAGGACTCACTCAGTCCTTCTGTCATACAACAGTTCCACTGGCCTTGATTCACAGAATCAGGGTAACAAAACTTTATTCTTCCTGCCCCAATAATAGAGAAACTGGGGATCCCACACCAGCCAAAGTAACCACTTTCAGTTGCTGTGTTTCATGCCAGGCGAGTGGGTGTGCCTATGCAAACAAGATCAGCCCCTGGAGTTCTTTTCCACACTCGCCATAATTCGCCACCAGATGTCAGGGTAGAGCTCATCCTGACTCTGCTTACACAAGTATAGAACCAATACTTATAACTTCAAATACAAAAATGATACAGCCGTACAGATAGCATAATCATAACCAGCCAATCATAGCCTTTTCATAGACACCTCACTCGACAACCTTTGTACAAGATTTGCTGCAAATATATAACAGTGGTTGCAACAATGATCGAGATGGTCATATTTTAATCAGATAACGTCCCACCTGTCTCCTCCCGTCCCACACCCCAGAGCGCTTTACAAAGTATTGGTATGAAAAACCAGGCGGAAAGATTCCCGGCTCATCGATTATTTTTTTTGTGCAAAGCAGTTTCAGTTTTTTCAGTTCCTTAAAATGCAGCACTTAAGCTCAGGCACCAATCAACTGTGAACCTCACTATGGGCAGATTGCATTAGCATAAGAAAAAGCCAAGCCGGGGGAGGGGAAGCGGGGGGACTTTCCCACTGTTCAGCCCCGTCCCCTGGCAGCCCCTAGGTGTGTGGATACCATGGGAATTTGGAATCAAAATACTTTTGAGGATTGGGCCCAGAATCTTGATCCCATTGCTGCTGCCTGAGCAATTGGGGAACAATGGACAGGAGTGGCGCCAGGATTTTTGGCGCCCTAGGCGGGGGTCCTTCCGCGCTCCCGGTCGTCGTCGGCAATTCTGCGGCGGGGGGGTCCTTCTGTGCTCCCGGTCTTCGGGGCACTTCGGTGGCGGGTCCCGGAGCGAGTGATGGACCCGCCGCAGAATTGCTGCCGAAGACCCGGAGCGCGGAAGGACCCCCCACCGCCGAATTGCCGCCCCCCCCAAATCCTGGAGCCTAAATGGAAGTGCCGGCCCTGACAATGGAACCAGCTAGATCAGTGGTTCTCTGACTTTCCAGGCTCCTGATGTGGCTCGTGTACACCAAGTTTCACCTCACTTACAAACGACTTGCTCTCAAACTTGCTTACAAGGCAATGGAGCGACAGCCACAGTTAGGTTTTTCTCCACACTGAGTCTCTTCCTGCTCCTTGGCTTGCTGGCAGTCAGAGCCAACAAAAGAGACTTCACAGAGATATGTTGACCCAAAAGGTAACAGACCCTCCAAAGCCTGGTTCCCAAGGTTAGTGTCCTCCCTCTGGGCTCAGGGCCGGCGTTAAGGGGGGCAAGCAGGGGACCCTGTGAAGCTAAGTTGCTCGGGCTCCGGCTTCAGCCCTGCGCGGCGGGGCTGGGGCTTCGGCTTTCTGCCCCGGGCCACAGTGAGTCTAACGTCGGCCCCATTAAAACGAACTCTGGACCCACTTTGGGGTCACAGCCCACCGTTTGAGAACCGCTGAATATAGTGCATAGAGCAGCATGAATGTCATTGTCTGTACGATCAGCAGGGCTGGCTCTGGCTTTTTTGCCGCCCTAGGCAAAAAAGCTTCCCGCCGCCCCCGGCCCCCCAATGGGGAGCACAGCGGGGAGGGCAGCACGTGCTTGGTAGGCTGGTGCCTGGAGCCGGCCCTGACGATCAGTCATCGTCTGTATGAAATTTGGGTTTGCACTGACTTCGCTAGTGGTGTTTATGGAGCCTGTTGTAAAACTAGGCAAATATCTCGATGAGCTGACGTGCCCTCCGCCCCCCCCCCCCCGGAAACATGTACCCTGGCTGAGCGAGAACCACCGCGCGAGATGACATGGCTGGCGTGTGGGGAGAGAGGGCATCTGAGTCTTCCAGGCTTGTAATTTGGTAATATATGAGGTTAAAGAAAAAAACTGATCAGCCCAAACCTTGAGGTTTTACCAGCTTGCCCTGCACCTCACATAACTGTCACCGTGGCAGGATGCCGGGAATTCAGGGGGGACGAGGGCGGGGTGAGGAATGTCACTGCAGCGGTGGCAAGGGGCAACTGCTTAAGACCAAGGCAGGTTCTTGCATCTGGGCTCATGTAGCTGTAGCAACAACAGGGACGGCTGTTTGGGGCCATGAGAACCTGGGAGGAGAGAGGGGTCCAGTGGTCAGAGCAGGGAGGCTGGCAGCCGGGACACCTGGGTTCTTTTCTCCGCTGTGGGTGGGGTGTGGCTAGAGCAGGCAGGGGGCTGAGGGTCAGGACTCCTGGGTTCTATTTCTGCATCTCGGGGAAAAGAGTATATCTAAACATTCAGGCGGAAGCCTGTACTAGCTAGGACCTCGCTGCTGTGAGCCTCCTCGGAACAGTGCCTTGGCCGTTGTGGACACAATTGCTCCAGTGACTCCCTGCATTGCTTGCTCTCGACAGGCAGCAGGTTCCCCCAGCCCCAGGCCAGCCTCCCAGCCTCCCCTCAGCTGCAGGGGCACAGATCCTGGCCCATTCCCACCAGGGGGCAGCACCTGCCCGCTGTCCTACTGACACTGCCCCGAAGGGAGTCAGGAGGCCACTGGGGAGGTGGCAAGTGAGTTTCTTTTGCCGGCGGATTGTGCCCCTGGCGGAGCGAGTTCCCGAGCAGCAGGGGGGTTTCGGGAGGGATGGAGAGATGGCAGCGCCCGTGGCTGTCTCCCCGGGGGTAGACGCTGCAGCCAGGGCCGCTGGGACAGTGTGCACGGTGGGGGTGCTGCGAGCCATTGAGGCAAACCCTGGAAATCATGAAAACCACTTCAAGCCCCGGGGGGGGGCTCAGCAGCACCCCCAGTTCCAGCCAGCTTCCACCAGCGGCTGCAGACGGTCGGTCCCGCCTGTCCTGGGGCTCCAGCCGGCTGCTCTGTAGCGTCTGTCGGCGCTGCGGGGATGGGGGTGCCCCGTATGCCCCCCCCCCACAGGCGCAGCCGGCGCTGAAGGAGTTAACGAGTCTGGTTCCCAAGGGGGGGGGGGCGGCGCAGCCCCGCCCGGGCCCGGGCTCGCCGCTGGCAACGCACGAGCCGCAGCAGCCAGCGGGAGGCTCGGAACCTGCCCGGGGCTGCTCCGCCGGCGGGACCCCCCTGCCCCAGCCCCGGGAGCAGCCGCCCAGGTACGGAGCCGCGGGGAGAGTCTCCGGCGCTTCCCCAGCCCCGGGACTCTTGGGGGG